TCGGCGCCTCGATCCCTCGTGCCGCACAGGCCTCACGCAACCATTGGTCGTCGGCATGGGCCCAGCCACCTGCAGCGCAAACCGGGCAATGCATGTCACTTGGAGTATCTGCTTGGGCACGCTGCTGCGCCAGGCACGCGAGGTGCAAGCGGTGGCGGGCGCATGTCGGGTGGAATCTAGCCAACCAAGTTGCCCTTGCACTGCAATTGATGGGGCGCTGCGCGGCCATTTAAGCAAGCGACGACCCCATTGGTGCACTCGAGTCTGCTGCAAGAGGCGCTTGATGCATGCGGTGACCAGCTTGCGGCTTGCCCGCGCTCCGGCGTGTTGCGCTCGCGTGGCGGCCCCCTCGAGCGAGCTGCGGCGCGTGTTTGCAAGGAGGCCGGGGCGAGAGTTGCCACACGTGTCCTGGTGCGCGACCTCAATGTTGCCCCCCTTCGGCCGGAGGACCGGCGCATTGAAGTCATTGCTAAAGGCCTGCCTTTGTGGGGCGGAGCGCAACTCGCTGTCGACGCCTGTCACGGCTGCTGGGATGCCACGCCGTCAAGGGGCATCACTGCCGGTGCAGCTTTATGGGTCGCCGAACACGCCAGGGCACGGACTTATCCCGTCCGTTAGGTTTAGCTCAAGTTTGCGTGGCTTCCGGCGTTCAGTCTGGATTGGCGGCGAGCCTGTGGGCCGTCGCAGACCTGAGGATGCTCACAGAGGCTCGCTTTTGCTCGCTGATGCCGTTTTAGTTTTGTAACGGTATTCTAGCTAAGCCCACCGATTTTTGCAGCAACATTTTTGCTAGAGTGCTTTCGCTGGGGTTGCTTGTTTAGGGTTGGTTCAGGGCGCCCGAACCCGTTCGGCCGTTCGTCTGCCCTGCGAGTGCTCTGCCGCCCTAGCCCCGTATAGGTCCCTTCCCGCTGCCCTGCACTGACTTGTACTTCCCACACCACCAGTCGCTGGTGTGGCGCCGATTGGCTTAGGTCGTCCCCGCGTGTTGGTGCGATAAGCGCGATGGCAGCAAGTGTGTCGTGTACAGGGCCACTGACATCGCCACCACGCCCCAAGTGAAGCCTCGGCGGTCCATGCAACTCGCGTCTCGGGTGAAACCATGCCAGCTGCGTGGAGCAGCAACGGCAGGTAAAAACGCGAGATGGTGTGCCGGGTGAAGGGGGACGCATTTTGGCCAGATCGGGGACAACATGCGGTGGTGGAGCTGGATTGCTAGGATGCCACAAGCAGAAGGCCACCATTGTACAGTTCAACATCATGATGGAAACACTTGAAGAGGGTTAAAGGGATGGTACTTCCGTTAAGCAAGGTGCTCGCTGGCACCCCATGTGTTGCATCTCTGTGCTGTGGCCCGCAGGTGCAACCAACAGGGTCCTGGTATGCTGATCCTCCACAATACAACCCAGTTAAGACGTTGGATAAACGTTACTTCAAGATCACGTGGCTTTTTTTGTATACTAGCACTTGGAGTCTTGCTGTCGCGAGCTTCATGGCGGCAGCAGGTTGGAGCTGTGCATTGTCAATGGCAGTTTTCGGGTAGAGAAAGCTACTACGCTGCTGGGTCGTCAGGGCTGCTGCTACCTGTGCGTCACAAACCGGCAGCGTTGGATCCAGATGCATGGAGCTTCCGCACAGACCAGTGCACTTTTGCAGTCGGTTTAGTTGGATGGTTGGACGTAACACGGGTTTGGCAGTGAGGTCCCTTGCGCAGATGGTTTGCACTGTTGGCACCGCGATGTGGTTGTTCATGGGCTCCTACTGCTTGATCAACATGACATGACACGGTGTCAGCGTGTGGAGCATGCTCTCGGATTCAGGGGATGTGTAGGGGTATGTAGGGGTAGATGAGATTGATGAAAGCAAGAAGTGTTGCAGTCGATCGGAAAACAAGTTCTCACGAGCGGAGTCTCTAATCTGCAAGGTGGCATCTGTAGGCAGGTGCAGGTGATGTAGGCAACTCTCCATGTTCAAACAGACGACGGCCACATCATAAGTCAGGTAGAGTCTGATCCGTCGTGCATGTGTTGTTCACGAAGGAAATCGCCACGTTGGACGCCAACAGATGCCGATCTGGATACGACCAGCACGCCAGTACACTCGCAGGCATGGCATGGCTTGCTCTCGCTGTTGCGATGTGCTCGACGCCTCCAAGGCTTCAAGAGAGATGTTGCAGGGTCCCGTGAGACGAAGATGGCGTAGTGAAGTTGTAGAGACCCAGGCGCGAATTTCCTGCAAATACGACGGTTTCAACCAAACGAAGGCTGAACGAGGATCGTTTCTGCGGTCTGTTTCCCCTGTACCTGACGCAAGGGAAGAAGACAACAGGATTCTTTTCCGCTGCATTAGGCATCTTTCGCATCTTGCTGTAAACGACCAGGCGAAAATCTCGAACACAGAGGATGACGAAAGAAAATGGAGCAAACGAAAAGCAAAGGAATCACATTCCTTCTTTCGTCTCCACTTGAGACAGGAGAGGTGGGAATCCAGGGCGCTGATTTCAAAATGTATCTTTATCACGAAGGACAAACAGAAGCGCAATAAAGAGGAGTTTCGATGCCACGTGTCCAGGTTCTGAGAGAGAGAGGGAGACCGTATATAAGACGAAAAAGGAACGAGTAGGCAAGGAGAGACAAGACAACAGTAGCTCGAGGAGGGAGGAAAATTTCCTTTGTCTTTTGTTTTCGTATTTTTCATTCTTACCAAGACGACTCAGACAGAGACGGCAGACTGGGAGGTTAAACCCACCCTGTCTGTCAACATTTTTCTGACAGGAGCAGCGCCACAGAGAGAGGAAACGCCACCGAAAGAGATCTGTCCTTTCCGGTCCTCTCCCCTTCCGTTATCTTCTTTCTTTCCTTTCTCTGTAACTGTACTCTAACTCTTCCTCTATGCACCACACCATACGATCCACCACTGATCTCTCAAAGAAGACGACCTAAAGACGAATAAACCTGGTAAGGACATGCCTTCATGTGCTTGTTGTTAGAGGAGCTGAAGTCTTTGCGACACTGGAATGAAAGCAGGGAGAGAAGGGAAAAGACAGACACTGGAGACATCTGCTCCTTGTTTTTTCTCCCTCCCTTTCTCTGGTTTGTCCCTGGTCATTTAAAATGTATCTCGGATGATCAGCTGTCTGTCTGGCCTGCTGTTATGTGCGCTTGCATAGCGAGACCCTTTGAGGATGACGCGGCAGAGAGAGAGAGAGAGAGACAGAGAGACACAGAGACAGAGAGACAGATAGACAGAGAGAAAGAGCAGGAGTCAAGACAACGAGGGGTGAAGTGGATGCTACCGTGCACACCCTTTGCAAGCCTTTCTGAGATGATGAAGGGTTTTTGTTCTTTTAGTGGTTTGTTTCCTTCTGTTTGCATCAATGAGGCGGCCACAAAACAAGACAGCCAGGGATAAGCCGGAACCGCCAAACGAACCCTAACTCGCAGCATGCACCCAGTCACACAAGTAACGCACCGGCCGACCGACCTACCCACCTACCTAGACCTAGTCCTACCTCGACCGATTGACCGACCGACCGTACCTACCTACGTACTTATTTATCGGCAGGCAGGTAGGGGTTGGTCAGTACGTGCCTAAGCATGTATGTGTTCTTGTAGGTCTACGACTTTTACGTGTGCACGCAAATGCACACACGTGTACGCATTTGTTTCTGGATCGCATCCATACGTGACTTTACACATTCCTGCGCAACACAAGCATGACCCGATAGGACGGACATCAAGACACGAAGTTCATACATCTCTTGTACATGCATCAAAGTTTTGCAGAGAAAGCGTGTGTATGTGTTTGTGTTTGCGCACGGTAGTTTTGTCAAGGCGTGTAGCCTACTGGAAGGAATGCACACGTTGGTTCTCGTAACCTGTCCGGACTAGCACTCGCCCCTGTCTGTGCGCGTAGCTGGAAGATTATGGAAGTATGTCCAATCCGCGAGTTTCAGTGGGCTTGGCGCCAGGCCTTGCTAGGTCGCGGCGGACATTCTCGTTCCCCGTCTCCACGTCCGTCGCAGTCGGACTTTGGCTTGGACCTGTCCGTGGCGCGGAGCAGCAACGAATCTTGCCTCAATGAGAGATGCAGCCTAGAGACGATTCTTGAGTTTGCAGATCAAGCGAGTCGACAGTTTCAACTCAGGTGTATGGTGGCAACTCTGGTGCACTCGGTTCGACTTGGTTCCGACTGTCGTTGCGTTGCTTTTGTTGCGTTGCTTTTGCATTTGTTATGGTTTGGGCACTTCTTATGGTTTGGGGATATTTTGAGCTTATCGTTCACTGGCTCCGCTCCGTCCCATGTGACTCCATTCCGATGGGCTCCACTCTACTCTGCTTCCACCGGTGCCGAGATGCCGTTGGCTTCCGCTTGACCACCAGGTTGAGTTCACTTGCAGTGGAGCTCCTACTGTAGACTCAAGACTTCCGTTTCCGGTGTCTTAATCAGCTCTTAATCATACCCTGCAGGTTCCAATTAAAGACACCCGGCTGACACGGAAAAGCTAGTACAATTCAGAAAGCTTTTGCCTCCCAGGAACGGCCGTGTCTTCGAGCTTTGTTAATTTTGTCGATCTTGGCTGTCACCGATTCCCGAAACAAGCAGCTTCTGGGTGCTTGACCATAGAACTCGAGAGAATCAGAGAGACCCTAAACTGTCCGGGTTCGCGAGGTGCTCTGCGATCGCCGATGCACTCGGATTCCCTGCTTTCCGTTCGCCTGGCCCTCGTCCTGCATCATTCCTTGCTAGCATTCCGCCCCCACCTCCAGCCACAGCACCGAAACAACACAAACGTCCCTCCTGATCTCTTGCCTCCGTCCGCATGCTGTTGCCCACAGCGCGAGGCCAACACAGTTCTCCCCGTCACTCCGTGGGCTTGGCAACGCAGCATGGCTCAAAGGTGCTAAATTATACTACTGATCGGTGGTGGTGGTGGTTCGACTGTGCAGAAATTGTATCACAACAAAGGCCGATGGCCGCCGAAGTTGCGCCAGAAGCTTCGCCGAGATTGTCTTCCAGCATGTCGCCACGACATTCGCGAGTCGTTCGGCCGTGTTCAAGATGTGTTTCTCAGAGAAGCCTCGGCCTCGGCTTAGCCTCCGCAAGGCCACTATGGATGTGGACACGTCCTTGCGCTCTGACTTGGCGGCATCCCCAAGGCAGGAGCTGGGTGCGTGTGAAGTCTCTGAGTCTCTCCGACGGCTGGGCGCAGGCATTCCAGTTCTTTGTCGCCAAGAACCTTGGACCGTCTTTGCTGTACCCTCGGCTTCTACGGAAGCGCATGCTGGCTCCCACAACCTGAGGACATAGTCTTCAATTTCGGTCGTCTCCGACAACGCCTGTGACCCCCGAACGGGTGGTTCCAGATTCCGACGCTCAGTTCAACGAGCAGTAGGTGCACACGTTTCTGCGAGATTTTGACGATCGGGCGAACCAGTCTAAGCCTGCCCGTGAACGAGAGCCGCTGAGTGGACGAACCTGATACAAGACATGCGCTGAGGCCCCTTCATCTTCTATGCAGTCCACCAGAACCTTGTCACATCAAGTCGCTTCCAAATACAGTGGTTCGCACGAAGAAGCGCACTAGTTGTTTGTTCGCCACTTCTTTCTCATCAAAGCATGCACTTGTTCATCTGACAGGACCGACTTACCCATCTCCAGGGAACAGCTCCCCGATGCATTCGCAGGCGGTCGCGGGACTCGCGGTTGGTGATTCTTTTGTCGCACCCACCGACATGCAGCAATCTCCATTGCTGCGGGATGCAATAACGAGCTGCCATGTCGCCATGCCATGTTCGGTGTGCATCCATAACCGGACATTTGCTGACATCGTGCTTGCAGATTCTCCGGGCAGGTGCTGCTGGAACTGCCCACGCGTCACAGCACTTTGGATGCAGACAGGAGGTCTCTTTTTTTGAGATGTTGCATGTAGCCGCGAGGCTCGTCGCCTCGGCGCTCTCCGGTGGCCATGGATGTAGAGCTTGGCTCGCCTGCAGCGCCGAATGTCGTGCGCCACAAGAGCCTGCTGGGGCCCCTGGCAAGTAACCGCTGAAATTTCTTTGCACCAGGCGTGAGTGAGTTTGGTCATTTCTGATTGGTCGTCGCATCTTCTTGTGACAGTTGTGGAACCTGGGAACAAGAGCCTCTTGAGCAGTATGCTGGGTTGCCGTTTTGTTGAAGTTGCTTGGTTTAACGTGAGACTGGGTGGAGGTCCAGAAGAGACCAGTCATTGAGTCCTCTCCTCGCGCCGAGTATGAGAGTCGAAGCTGAAATCCAATTTTGCTTTGCTTGAGTGAGGAAAATACCGGATCTGCCTCAACGAGGTTTGGCCGGCATCGTGACGCTGTCTGTTGGCTACCGGACTATATGCAGATGTATGGTGTCCTAGATCCTCCTCACACCCGCAGATCCTGGCAGTAGTTCCAGGGCACGGTCAGTACAAAGCAGAAGCCAAGGTAGTTGGAGACAGTCCCTGGGCCCAAGCCGAAACCTAACGGAACCTACGTCCTAAGCATCCTGTGCAGGCGAGGATTCTCCGGGGCACCGCCTAAGCGTCTGCATGAGCGAGGAATTCCGGCCTCTCTCACAAGCCAGGGCCCCGTGTATGATCTTTCATCGGGTGGGATGGTTGTGGAACACTGCCACCATGTCAAAGTGCTTCTGCCGGTCATGCTCTTGACGTAGATTCGCCTGCTAAACTCTTGCCCCCCGCCCGGCCATGAACCCTGAGTTTGAACAAGGCCATGGACCGGGAAACCCTGATTTCTAGCAGCTGTTTGTGATTTGCCACGCGAAAAGGCGACGTTTGGTGCCGACGCCAACGAAAGGCCGGGCTCGGGGGCCTCCCGGAGTTAGCAGGGCAGGGTTCGGGGATGTTCAGAGGCTGAGTTTCAAGTTCCAAGCTCTAGGGCCCTGGTCGCCGATTTGAGCTGCCGAGGGAGCTTCAGGGTGCAGGCGCACCGAAACACGCAGCATAGGGGCTTGACCCACTTCTGACCAGGACTCCCGTTGGCGATGGCCTTGACCAGTTCCGGCCGCTGTCACCCCAAGCCAGCCCGACACGGTACGACGAGCTGGAGAAGTTCAGGTCCCCTCGTCATGCGCATGCTCACATTGAAGCAGACCACTCTTGACGAGGCCTCTTTCGCCGATGTCCAAGGCAGGTCAGCCGGTGCAGCCAGTGGATGTGCCGAGCTCAGACATCTTCACGAAGTTGAGACACGTCGAAAGAGAAAGCATGGTTATGAGTATGTGACGAGCTTGTGGCTGAAGTTCCTAAGCTCTGGATCCCAACCCAAGACGGTCTTTCCAGGAGCTGGACAAGTATCGGCCTTTATCGCCCGCATCTTCAATCAGATCGACCGTGTATCCTGCGGAGAGGCTGAGCACTCTCTGACTCGGAGCGTGGCTTGTGGCAACAGCCACAGCCCTTTGCTATCGCTTTTGGTGAAGGGGCAAGAAGGAACGACCACCGGACCCCAACTTGAAAGAAGCGAAGTCAAGACAGCTCGCAGAGCAGGGCCTCAGTCAAACTGCTTGTGCAGACAGGTAGACCAGGGCCAGAAACCGACGTATACAACAGAACTCTGTGGTTTGTGGAGGGAAGGATTCTCTGGTTCGTCGGGGGTGGAGGCGGGGGTCAATTGATATATCGATAGCCTAGTTTTGTAGTAATGCCAGTAATGCTAAGAAGCTATAGAACTCATCCGCGGCTGCCTCCTCATGTTTGGAAGTGTGGCTTGTCAGCACTCTGACGGATTACTTCATAAAACACTCCTCTTCCTCCTCGTCGTTTGTTTCTTATTGCTATTACATTATTTTTACTATTACGCAGACGTGCCAAGTGGGTGACAAAAATTACTAATACTATTACTATTACCATTACTATTACTATTACTATTACTATTACTATTGCTATTACTATTACTATTACTATTACTATTACTATTATTATTATTATTACTGTTGCTATTACTATTACTATTCCCAGTACTATTACTACGACTATTACTATTACTATTGTTACTACTACTACTACTACTACTACTACTACTACTATTACCACCACCACTACTACCACGGCGGCGGCTGCTGCTGCTGCTGCTGTTGCTGCTGCTGCTATCGCTACTGCTGCTACTGCTGCGGCACTGCTACTACGACGATGCTCGCGCAGATAAACGCCTGCTCACCTGCCGGGCCAGCATCTACCGGACACAGAAACAGCCGAGCTTTCGTTCCTCTCTCCGGCCTTCAGGTTACCGCAATGGATCTCGGGGCTCTGCCAAACGCTCGAAACTAGCACAGGGGATTTGCGCTCATTCCAACGGCCCTGTCCGACCCTGGAAACACTCCGCGAACTCTTAGAATCTGTCCTCATCTTCCGCATGTGGCAGGACGATGCTGCCCGACTCGGAGAGTGAGGTGCAACGGCTGCGACTGGGACTGGACGAAGAGCCCAGGCAGGTTCTCAGGGCTACTGAAAGCCACCTAAACGGAAGTTGAAGTTCCGGGGCACAGAGCGATCTTGTCATTTTCTTCGATGTGATCACCGGAAGAGTCGGTGAAGGCAGTGTCTAAATCCTTCCTCGATTCCGGTAGTAGAGTCCGAGAGCTGTTGCAAAAAAGGGCCCGATGGGCTTGTGTGATGAAGCTTGTTGAAATTATGCAGGAAAGGATCTCCGTCAACGAAGGACACACCTGTTTTCGAGGGGCTTTGGGCTGTGTGGGATGAGTTCGTTGCAACTTGCAAGGTGTCCACCCGGTCTCGTTGGAAGTTGAGTCCAACACACTGTGCATTCTGTTGTGAGGTTGATTTTTTCTGTGAGATGCATTGGGGACAGGACCAAGACGAAGCGGAGCGGCGCAAGTCGAAGGACGCAGTACAAGTTTTTGGCCTGAAGTTCTGTTTGTGTTGGGGCCGGTCGTCCAGTAAGTAGTTGGGACATCGGAGGAGTCGACTCGCTCAGCCTTAGACGATGAGATCGAGAGGCACGAGACCGGCTGTGTGAGAGTGGAAGCGATTCAGTAAATTGGGCCGGGCTGCATGTTGTGGTACTCGTATCGAACAATGGAGTGCCAGCAGTTGCGACAGTCCACGAGCCGAAGTGTCAGTTTGGAGGCAAGAAGCCATCACCAAGCGGCTGACGATGTCACTTGCCAACAGAGTGAAGCGTGGGGTTGTGGAAAGTTAAGCTGGTCGTTCAATGACTCAGCAGTTATTTCCCTGCTTGCATTAATTGTACATTACTTGATGAACTATGGTCGGAGGCTGAAGTGATGAGATTTTCTTCGTGGGTGCGCGGCTGCTCATGTGTTTGGAAGTCGGTGTGTGCCCGTGCCCTTAACTGTTTCGTCGTGATGGAGCGAGAACATGTTTATTTTGAGCTTTCGTGTCGTCAACCTCGGTGGCCTACCCGTGGATGTTAGGCTTCTCTCTCTCTCTCTCTATATATATATATATACATACACACATGTATAAACATTTATATATACCTATATATATATATATACACATGTATATACATATATATACACATGCACATACACACATGTATGTATAGAATTTTCTGCAAATCTCTCTCCCTCTCTCCGACTTTCTCGCCCCCTTTCTCCTACTCTTTCTCTCCTTTCTTCTCTCTCTCTCTCTCTGTTTTGTCTCTCCGTCTCTCTGTGTGTCTCTCTCTCTCTCTCTCTGTGTCCGTGTTTTTCTGTCTCTCTGTCTGGCTGTTTCTCTCTCTCTCTCTCCCTATCTCTCTCGCTCGTGGGTGGGTGTGTGGGTGGGGTGGGATGGGTGGGTGGATGGATGGACGGATGGGTATACGGGTATATGTATATCTATATGTATGTATATGTAGACGTAGATGGAGAGGTATATATATATATATATATACAACTGTACCATGATGATTTTGTGGGATGTCCAGACACGGCATCAATCCTGAACTGATCACATCCAGGCAGTTGCGGTCTCCAAAGCGGCTCTCCCCAGCCGTGCCTTGGGCTGTAGCATTCTGGGATTTCGAGGTGTCAGAGCGAAGCTTTGGGATAGGAGCTGACAGTGGGTGAGGATGGGTGTTGAGGGCTCTTGAGACTGAAGTATGTTTGACTTGTCTTCGTCGTTTGTACTTGTCAGTTTCGCTCGTAGTTGCGTAGTTGCGTGGTCAATTTTAGGGCTCAGTATTCGGCTGTCTATACTCTATACAGCATTGCCCCTGTCTAAAAGGCTGACATGTAGTCTCATTTCACGGCCGTCTAGCTGTGAACCGAAGAAATAAATCGCGTCAAATGAGCATCCCAGTTCCAGTCGAGCCAGTATAACACAGAAGAAGTGCCTGCAATGCGCACGCTCTGATTCGTGCAAGTAGGAGAAGCGCAGGTGCAGCAGCGTGCTCTCGCAGCTCTGCCTGCCACCCCCGTGGCAAGTCGTCGTTCGGTCTCGGAGCCAAGGCCGTTATGTGCGAACTTTTTCTCAGTACACTCCAAGGATCAAGGGTGCGCTTTCAGGGAGTAGGGCTCAACAGCTTGAGCTGGCAGTTGAACTAAACCCAAACCCTTTCCATTTGGACGGTATTTTTGTTTTTTGTAGTTTGCTTGGTTTTCCAAGGGAAAATATGATTTTCCTTACATTTTCGACGGATTTCCTGCTATTTTCCTAGGTTTACTAAGGGATAGCGTTATTCTTCTTGGTTTTTCCGAGAAAGACACTGCATTCCTTACATCTTAGATGGATTGGTGCCGTATTCGTCGGTTTATCTAGGAAACCTTTGTTCCTTCAATACTTTTCTTGACAGAGGGAGGAAGGCGGGAAGGGTGAGACCAGACGGCCCGAGTCCTCCAGCCGTCAATACCCTAAACCCCTTGTCTTACCCAACACCCTCGAAAAACCCTCACCCTAAACTCTAAATCCTAAACCCTAAACCCTAAACTTAAAAAAACCCTACACCCTAGACCCGATACCCTAAACCCTCAACCCCAAACCCTCAACCATTTGAATTTAAGCGGCGCCTGCTCACGCACCCCTTGCGCCTTGAACCCCTTCGGCCCAACCCTCAACCCTGCTCCATTTGAGGGTTATACCATGTAAATAAGAGATCGCAACCTATCATTCTGATGGGTCTGGGGGCCAGAGGTAGACCCTACACCCCTAAACCCAACACCTGGGAACCCGCACCCTACAACCCTGAACCCTAGATGCCTGGACCATTCTTAACCCTAAACCTCACGTCCTACACCCTTGAAGAGCCCCCTAACCCTAAACTCTAAACCGGACCCCAAACCCTTAAGCCTTTAAGCCCTTAACCCTTACATCCTTAACCCTAAGCCCTGAACCCTAAAGCCTTGAACCCTGAACCCTAGACCCTTAACCCTTAAACCCTTAAGCCCTTAACCCTAAACCCTGAACCCTTAAACCCTAAATCCGTAGATCTGGCGGAGTCCGAGTTGCGAGAGCGTAAACCCTTAAACCCTTAAGTCCCAAGCCCTAAACCTTTAAACCCTTAAGGTCTAAATCCCCAAACCCTTGAGCCCTTAACCCGTCAGCGGATCATGTTTAGGGTTTTGGCCGTCTGCGAGTTTTCCTGAGCACGGTATGGAAGCGCAGTCGTGAGAGCTGAACTTCTGTGGGCTCGGACATTCAGGCGATTGCACAAGTCCTGATGCAAAAATGATAAAGGGCCCCAACACCCCCGCTTCTTTTAAAGCCGTGAAAGCTTTCATATGAATCTTCCTAAACCCATCATGCGAGCCTTGTGTGCAACCCCCCAAACCCCCCCTTCACTTTTTAAAGCCGTGCAAGCTTGCATATATGAATCTTCCTTCCAGAATATCGACAGTGTTTTCCTAGGCAGAACCAAGCCAACGTATAGCATGTTTTGCTTAGGAAAACCCAGTGAAATAGCACAAAATCCGTCCAGTGTGCGGAAAATCGTGCTTTCCCTCAGAATTACAAATGCAAAGTAGGTTGTCCTCAGGACAACCTAGGGAAATGCAAGATCCATTCCAGATGCAAGGGAAATAGTGTTTTCGCTAGGAAAAACCAAGAAAACGACCAAAAAAAACAACACAAAAACACATACAAACAAAAACAAACGCACGCCCTTTCAATTTCCAAGGTCTTAGGCAACGACGTTTAGCAAATTGAGTACATCCCTAGCAGTTCCCAGCACTTCTAAACGGCGAAGGCTGCAGCAAAGCCCTGGCACAGCCCCGCCTGGTGCCATGCATTCGGGCTGGGTGCCGACAGGCGCCTGCAGGATCTTGCTGGTCTTGAGGGGTCCCGCAGGGTTATGGGGCTTGCGGGTTCCGTCTGGGTGTTTCGAGCAAACAGCGGGCGTGTGCGCTCAAAGGTGTGAGTGAGATCAACCCTCCTGGACCAATCGGGGAAGGGGGGAAACCACTTTGAACCATTTCAGATACTTCTTGAGAACAAAACCCGTAGGTCTACGAGAGAAAGTATATGTAGTGGCCAAGAGGCAGCATTCAAATAAGTCTGACCTGCAAGATAATCGGTTCGAGATTCATGGTGTGATGTGACCCATCTTCTGATACTTGGGCATCTGTGGCTGGGTGAACTGCGCCTTTCGCGAGCTTCTGCGCACACGAAGCCGAACCAAAGCCTGCCAGGTGCAGACTCCCTAGAGCACCGTGCCAACGCGTGCATGGTCGAGGAGTTCCGGTCCCCTCCACAGGTACGCGACGGGTGGCCTATCGTCAGTGTCGGGCGTTTATCCTGGAAGCGCCAACTCCCAATTAAATCAAGCATGAAGTCCCTGGAGGTCTCGACCGCAAAGTTTGCTGCCGAGGGGCCGAACAACAGGCTGCAGGGCAATTTGTTTGGGGCGCAGCACGATGACAGTATGACGACAGTGTCGGCGGGAACCAAGATGATGCCGGTGCTGGTGATGATGATAGATGTAGTCTATTATGGCGAGAACTGAAAGGATGTTGATTACGAAACTGAGAGGATGCGGATGAGAGAGAGGGTAAGGCCGACGACGGATGAGCACTGTGATGACGAGCGTGATCGTTAACATGATGATGCGACTGCGGCAGCGGCGAGACGTCGTGGTGGCAACATGCGGCTATGCACTTCGGAGGTGAAACTCTGCGAAGCTACTTGGTCAACAGCCCGGATCCAAAGAACTCTCGGCATGAACGAACTACGAAAACTCGCAAACCAGAGATTTTCGACATTCTAAGTGGTCACGCCACTTGTACGTTGATCATCGTGCTGACTTGATCTGCTAAAGACAAACTAGAGCGACCATGATGTTCGTGATGATGCGGGTAGCGATAATGAGATGGACAGTTTTGGTGCCACGTATGCCACACATTAAAAATGCCATATAAGATGCATGAGATGACCCGTAAGGGCCATAGGGGGTTCTTCCCCACTCCGTCAGACAGGGATTGATGCAGCATGAAATCACACCAGGGTGGCAGGTGGGGAGGGGGGCGGGTTGGGTAGGCAGAGGGGTTGCAGAGGGTCAAGAGGGGCAAGAAGGTCAAGATCATGTCAGGCCCGCACGTAAGAGCTTTGCCCGAGTCAAGCTTTTCATGCTTTTCCGCTTGGTCGAAACCATTGCAGTCTTGGCATGTCAGCAGCCAAAATATTTGCCGAGTGCTGGTGCCATGTCCTGTTCTGCTTCGACCATGTCTGTATGCCATGTCACTCTGGGCGAGGCCTGTTTTGCCGGTGCAGCAGGGGAATCAGGTGGTGGAGGTGCCACGCTTGGCCAGACATGTTCGCATGTGCCTTGAATTCTGGGTTTTCTGCTTGTGACTTAAACATCTCCAATGATACACATACCTTGGCATCTGCGTTTTGTTGGTGTTTTCGCATTTGCTTCAGGTCTTGCGGTAATCCAGCGCACACAGCTGTCATGTACCCTAATGTATTGTACGCAGCGAAGTCTAAACATAATGTAGTGCGACGTATTGTTGCACTGCGGCATGTAATGTATGTAGTGTATGTAATGTATGTAATGTATGTAATGTATGTAATGCATGTAATGTATGTACCTCTGTCTGCAGTATATGTAATTTACTGCAAGTATGTCATTTACGCATTGCATGTAAACAATGTACCGCATTCCTGTGTCCTCATAGTATGCTACGGTACGTTCTGTCCGGAGTGCAACTCTGTGCCTCAGTCGATGCCTGTAGCTACACGGGCCCTTGCTAATCCTTATGGTGTTTGTCCTTGTGCGTGTCAGAGCTGCATTTTTGCGGTTTTTCATCTCCATGATGGTACTGTCATGTATTCCATTTAGAGCCCCTGCCCATGAAGGCAGAAAGCGAGGAAATGCAACGGCTCCGTGCTGAATTGGCAACCGCCAAGGCCGCGAGGGATGATTCTGCCTTGACTTCAGGATGTCGTTTTGGTACTGTCTCTCGGGCTTGTATGTTGAAGTTGTGGGAGCTTCCGTCCGTGTTGGTGAGTGTTTGTGTGTGTTATGTAGAGGCCCGCTTTACAATCAGTTAAGATTTGACAGGTGATTGTCCGTCCGTCCGTCCGCCCGTTCGTCCGTCTTTCTTCCTCTCTTTCCGTATCTGCCGCTTTCGCCTCCGCAGAGTAAGAAGCGCAGGCTTCCGCCGGCCAGGAGGCTGCAAAGCTGCGAGCGGAGCTCACAACTGCTCGCGATGCCGAGGCCAACAGCCGCTGGGCAGCCGCTCCATTCTTGCCAGCCGTTGCTGTTGTTCGCCCAGCACTGTCGCATCGCCAGGCGCTTGCTGCTAGCGAATGCGCCAAGTTGCAGCGAGAGCTTACTTCGCGAGATGCAGAGGAGAGCGAAGCGTGTCAACTTGGGCCAAGTTGCTTTGCAGGGAGCTGAATGAAGTCAAAGGCTGGTACTTTATGGTTGCACAGTGCTTCCCTCTTTCACTGAGCTGATCGACAGTCACGAATGGAGTTCTCACAGGTATTTAGCAAGAGATGGGTGCGTCACAGAGCCAAGCCACGTCTCTGGGAAACTGCTAGAAAATGCTAGAACCGTGTGAAGTGAACACGTCAAGAACATGCAGCCTACACACAGGAACTCGCTCCCTCCTGATGGCATATGAACCCCGAGGAGTTGGACAGGTATCGGCCTTTGTCAACCGGGTCATCGATCCGATCCACTGCGCACCTTGCTGAAAGGTCCTGCGCCCAGTGCAGAATTAATTGATGCTGCACTGTTTTTGTGGGCCCCACCTGAACAATTTGCCCCCGAGAACTGCCAGGGATGGGGGTCGTCCCCTGGGATTGCAGCACTGTAGAGGCATGTAGGCTTTTGAGAGGGGTGTGGGATGGTAGTACAGCGGAAACACAGTGGCACAGTAGGTAGAGACCGCTAGAAGAAAGGAACATGCAAAACACAACCGGCCGATTCGGCGTGCATTACCGAGGACACTCCCGATAATTGCTGAGTGCGCACCGGATAAACCACGTATATCTATATACTCGTATCTATATATCTGTATATACGCATATATGTATGTATATACATATGTGCACCCTTGCACACACACACACACATATATACATATATGTATATGTATATGTATATGTATATGTATATGTATATGTATACGTATATGTATATGTATATATAGATAAAACTATTATTATTATTATTATTATTATTATGATTAATATATATATATATACACAGTCACAGATACATGGATATATAATGTGTGTTTATCTTTCTATATGCACAGAAATACATACATAAAGATAGACAGATATCTATCTATCTATCCTATCCTACTTAATCTAATTTAAATCTAATCTAAATCCAATCAAAGCTAAGCTAATTTTAGCTAAATCCCTAAAAATAGGATCTAGGAAGAGCTTGAACAAATTGAAGCTTATCTAGTAAGGAATACATATAGAGGACAGAATCGTTATAAAACACCCCCTATGCATGTCCTATAAAATAGCTTCTGCCATATCTTGTGGAATAACCTATAGAATACCTTTTAGACTACTCTATAAGGATACTGTATACAATTCCTCCGATATACCCTATACCTTATAGAATTCCATCTGGAATATCCTGTAGAATGCCTCAAAGAAGACCGTCCACATATGATACATCCTGTATACCTTACGTATGCCATATAGAAAGCTTATAGAATACTTCATAGGATACCCTTCAGAATCCCCTATAGAATACTCTATAAAGCACCCTATAGATAGGGACTTTAGATGTGGAAAACTAGTCGGAGCCCAAGATCTGAGAGCTTTTGGGTAAGGGGCTCCTATGCAGAAAATCAAGAATCAAGAAGATTAGCCTTACAACCGCCTTATAGAATACCACCTCTATATATTTCAAAGAATTTCATGTAGAATACCTTATAGAATATCTTCCGATAAAGAGGCTACAGAATACATGTTTTTACAATACCTTCTGGAGTACCCTATAGAATACATGAAAGACTGCCATGTAGAATGCCATCTGGAATAACCTGTAGTAGAATACCTTACAGAAGACGGCCTATGTAATATACCCTCTGTATACCGTAAATATACCGCACAGAATATCCTCTAGAATACTTTTTAGGATAGTCTTTAGAATACCTTATGCAATACCCTATAGCATACTCTACAGGCAAAGATTTTAATAAGGAAATCAGGCGGAGCTCGCCATTTAATGGTGTAATATACAGAGGACATGAGACAATTCTTCGTTGTATTATCTTGGTTCGAACGGTGTTCTGTCGTCGTAGCCAGGAAATACTAGGCAATCCTTAGTATCTTTATATCGTTTTGAACTGTTTTATTTTGTTGTAGACAGGGAACACTAGGCAGCTCTTAGTTTCATTATCTTGCTTTGAACGGCGCTGTGTCGTCGTAAAAGGGAATTCTAGGCAATACTTAGCATCACTGTCTAGGTTTGAGCGGGTCTGCGTCGTCGTGGACAGGGGATAATAAGCCATACCCACTATCATTAACCTTAGTTTGAACGGCTGCGGGATACAAGACTCATGTTCGGAGTGGAGTCGTAGCGTAGTCTCAAAAAGTACAAGAAGACGCTTCGAGGTAGGTTTTGGAGGGGGGGGAGCATATACATATATATATATATATATATGTACATACTTATGTACATATGAGTATGCGGATATGCGAGCTGCGTTGCAGGACTCTCCTGCCTGACTCGGAAAGTCTTCACCCTCCCGGGGCTTGTGCTGCCAAGTCTGGCGTGCCATGGAGGCCTCGAGGTTTAGTTTCTGCCGTTTGTTGCGCATCAAAGGTGTCACTGGCGTGTTATGGTCGAATGTCGGGAGTCACGTCCGAGCGCACCTGCTCGCAGGTAGATCATCAGTACATATACAAACGAGCTCCCGAGACAAGCCCTTGCTGTCTGCAGGAGAGCTCGAGGAATTGCAGCAGCGCAGGACTCGCACAACGATGTCCGCCTTTTTCTTCTGTGATGCGCGTGTCTGGCGTGATCGCTATACCGGAGCACTGCAGGACATTTGTGATGAGGAGCGCCACAAGTCCAAGGACTGGTCACATGCTTTGTGTAAGCCCGAAACACAGTCGCAAGCTCCGAGCAGAGAGAAGAGTGGCGAAGCTGGGAGGAGTCGACTCGCTCGGCAGACCAGGAGACAGAGAGGCAAAGGGTCCGCAGGTCACGGCAAAACTCCTTCGTCCACTCTTCTCCTTCAGTCTACGCCTGGGAAGACAGAAGTTACCGATCGCGCATGCAAACGGCACATTAAACTCCACAAAGGTACATGTTCGCGCCATTTGCTCAGTCCTCAAGCCTTGTTTTTTGTTTTCATGTCCGGACTTCCACTCTGCTCTGCTCTTGTCTGGGAAAGAATCGGGGAGACATAGCTCTCCTCTAAGTGCCTTGACCGCTTCATCTTCCCTGATGCAGCATGCAGCATCTATTTTAATTCTCTCGTCTTTCTACAGATGCTAGAAGAAGTCTTGGGAGATGTGCAGTTTTGTATGTGTAGATGTGGCTAAATCAGTACCCACAGATGCTAATAGCTATGCGGACATGTATTCATGTTTCTGTGTGTATGTAAGCACCCATTGGCATGATCATGCTTGTATGCTGCACATGAGCAGACCATGCTTGAAACTTCAGAAACATGGACCTGTTACAGCTGCACAACAAGACGGGTATCCAGCATCACCTTGCCGTCGTGACGTCGCATCTCAACGCAGGGAATTTGTGGCCAACCGCGTTGCATCCAGGCCGATGTGTCTTGGACTGACACTTCTTGTAGGTTGGAGTTTTGACAGAGTTCAGAGGGCCAAGCGAAGGACCGGAAGCTTTCGATGCGGCCAAGAAATGCCAGGCTCTTCGGGGAAAACCAAGGTTCCTTCCACCCCAAGCCTTTGAGGTCTTGCTCTCTTGCATCTTCGCATGTTCGACGCCCAAACAGCCCAAGACGATGAAGACCAAGACCTGCAGGGCCAGGTGGGCCCCAGATGTGACAGCCTTCGGCCCCGAAACAGCCCAGGATGCAGGTAGCTCCGGAGCCAGCTTTCCTCGCGCAGCTGCCCGGTCGTGTTTCGCCTGTGCCTGGAGCTGCAAGGTTCAGCGAGTTCAGCGTTTGGGTCTGTGTGTTTTTACTAGAGGATGGATTTGTGCCGTCAGGTGCAGGCCGCGCAGGTGCCGGCCACGGCCACGCCCCAGGCGAGTCTCCGATCAGCCTCGGAGCCGAGGCTTGGGCCCTTGGAGCACCGGGCTTCGGAGGGGAATATGCAGCCGAGTCATATCCAAGCTTGAGACTCTTCTATTTGACAAACTCCACAATTACATTTTTTCGTGAAGTGATTGGTAGGCTGCAGCGGAGCACTGGTACCATGACGTCAGGCCAGGCGCAATCATGCCTTGGGATCGAATCTTTTGAGTTCCTGGTCGGGCCCCACACCTGTTCGGGTGCATTCCGGAGAGTACAGCATCCAGGAGGATCTGGTTTCGGAGAATGATCTGGACATGAGCCACCCGCGACCCCATCCAAACAAACCCTAGGCCGTCTCGCGCTCCTGAGGTGATTTTGGCTCGAAGTGCCCAGTCTAGTAGCCCATAAGAAGCACGAAACCAACTGTAATAGCATGCGACATTATTTGATCAGGTTCCAGTGCATCAAGCCCCTCGAAAGAAAGGCTGCGAGCGCTTGAGCACGAGCCTCAGCAGTAACTGCAGTAGCAGCAGTAGACGTAGTAGAGAGCAGTGCAGCGGAGCGATTGCAGTAGTGGTTTGGGCTGGGTTTTTTTCCTTCC